GACTCAGTTACATAATTAGTTCCAGTCATATAAGCTAATTTTTGAGTATCGTTTTTGAATTCATTTATATTTTATTTTATTTTATTTATTAATTCTAAAGGCGTTTAATATTCATTTTTTTATTTCATAATGTTCTTATCAATTTAATTTTTTTAATTTATATTTTCGCCTCTCTAGAGTATATTTCTTTGCGAAAAAATTTAGATCAGATGTTAATTTTATTCCTTTTTTTCCTTCAAATACTCTTTTTTTGCCACAAAATTATCTTTGATACTATAAAATTTCCTTTCTGTTTGATAAAAGTTGCAATTATTTTCTGTTTTATGAAAGATATTCTAAGGTGATTAAAAATCACTTGAATTATCACAAACAGTTGTTGAGTAAGAGTTCAAAGCTTAATAAGAATTTTACTAATAATTAGAGTTATTATCGTTTTGTAAAATAATATCAAATGAATTATCTTGTATATATTTATTAAATTATTCTACATTAGATGTAAAAGCTACTTTTTTACAAAAATTTTCAAGTTGATTTTCATTGAAAGGAAATTATTATAATAAATATTAGAATATTTTACAGTTATTTATTGTATTTTTGTTTATTATCATACGACATTATCAATCTGTTTATAAAAATTAACATGTAGTCTTTAAGTTTTTGTTCGAAAGAAGTTAGCATATTTTGTATATTTTTTTTTAATTTATATAATTAATATTTTTAATATATAATTTTATGTTTTTTTTTTTTTATTTATTTGAAAAAAGTAGTATTTTTAGGTAAAAATAGATATATATATATATATATATATTTTATTAAAGAATTTTGTTAGTGTGGATTATTTAGTTTATTTTTCTATTTCAGATTTTTAAGAAATATTATATATTTAATTTTATTTTTTATTTTTTTTAGTTCTTATATATCAAAATTATATTTTTTAATAAGTTTTTAATCTATTTATTTTATATTTAGTAATAGAAAAAACTAATAAATATTTTAGTTTTTATTTTATTTTATTTTGAATAAAATTTAATAAATTTGTAGATAAATAATTTTTTTTTTTTCCTATAAAAAGCTAAACTAAGAAATATATATTATTAAATATTTATAATTAAATAAACGTAAATAGCCTATATTTTTAAACACAAAAGTTAGCAAAAAAAATATAATATAACGTGTAAATAAAAAAACAAATAATTAAATACTATTTAAAAAAATAAAAAAACAAAAAAATATTTTCATTAATATATAATTTTATATTTATTTTTCTAATAAACAGGTATTTTAGGATAATTAAAATACGGATCTTCAGGTACTTGAACTTTTTTAAGGATAAAAATAATAGTCAAAACCGAACAAATAAAAATAAATAAACCCAAAAAAATAATAAGATTTTTAATCCAAGTCTTGATTTTAATAACTCCTTAATTTGCTGTATTGACTTCATATTTATCAAACAAAGTAATTGAATTATCATTTAAATCAAAAACAGAATAATATACATAGATAAATGAAGTTCCGAAATAAAAACAATTGGTATTTTAAGGTTTTCTATTATTTTTTTATATATTTATTTTATGTTAATTTTTAAATTAACGAAATATAAATATATATTTTTTTTTATTACATTGTATTTTTGAATATAAGTTCATAATTATCGTTTTATTTTATAATATAATTTTTAGGTTTTAATGTTAATTTGACAATATTTCCATCAAAATCTTTAACTTCGAAATGTATGTCTTTATAATCTTCCCATTTGAACTTATCTTTATGACATAAATAACTATATTATTAATATTTTTAAGTTTAAAAGCATGGCAAGAATTATTCCATAAATTTGTTTTAATCCAATGGTACATAAATATACCTAGAAGTAGTATCAAATAAGGCTAAAATAGAATTTCCATCTTAATTTTTGACTGAATTATCTCCAAATTTAATATCTTAAATAGAAATTCCCCATCCATTAGGGACAACATTAGGTAAAGCATACTTATCGGACTTAGGATTAATAAAATATCCTTCAACTTTTCCAAAATCAATTTAATGAATTTAATTATGAGTATAAAGAGCGAACATTTTTTTTGGAATTTTTTTATCATTAAATAATTTATAAACTAAATTATCATCCTATTTTTTCGAGGGGGCTAAAGAAAGTTAAAAATGTGCTAATTCATTACTCGCAGTAATAAATTAAACTACATTTTCCTCAGAATATTTTTAAGGGAAAAAAAACGAAAATTCATATTTATTCATATTTTTAAATTAAAGTTAATAAGAATCTTAAAATCCATCTATTTATTTTTTATAATTAAAAAAAAATAAAAAATTAATTTTATATTTTTTTATTTTACTTTCAAAAATAACTTTTTAACCAAAAGAGTCTTTTTTTCCTAATATTTTATCACCTTTTTAGCATTAATATGAACTACAACTTAAAACATCATCATTTTCAAATTATAAATAACCCAAAAATTTTATATATTATGTCAATATGGAGTTTTAGTCAGATTAAACATCAAAAACGCCTATGTCTTTATGGGTCTATATATCTCCTTGTTCTTTATTAAAAAATGTTGCTTTGTAATATAAAATTGAATCTATTAAATTCTCTCCATCACTTCCATATGAATATACTCTTTTTCGTTTTAATAATATATAATTATTATGCTAATAGGTATATTCTATTAATACTAATGATAATATTAAAATCTTTATGGTGGTTAACATAATTTTTTTTATTTTTTTTTATTTTATTTAGTTTTTTAAATAAATTTATTTATTTTAATTTTTTATTTATAAAAATTAAAATTATAAATAATTTTTGTAAAAAAAAAAAATTTAAAAATAAATTAAATTTCATTAATTAAATTTTTTTTTTTATAATTAATATATATATATATATATATTTATGTAATGATAAAATCATTAAATTAATTAAGTATCAACTAATCTATAATAAATATTATCTTCAAATATAAAGGGTTATACAACTATTTCAAGTAAATTATCATAAGAACTAAAATTAAGTATTCTTTTAATAATCTTTTCAAAATTATTTTAATATTAGGAAAGATTTTATTCATTTAAATTTTATAATATAATATCTTAAAAATAAACCTAAAAAAAAATATTAATGTATATATATATACATTAATATTAATATTACATCTTTATCTTCTTCTTCTTCTTATAAAATAATTACTTTTAAAATTTTATTTTAATATTCAATTGAATAATCCTTTATAAAAAAGCAGATTTAAATAACCTTTTTTTTTCCAATATGTTAAATACAATTTAGAAGATTAGTAGAATTAACATATACTAAATAGCATTTAATTTTGAATTATCTTTTACAGAAATTTTCCCATTCTTAATATTAAATATTTTCTTAGAATTTAATCAAATCGCTTATTTTATTAAAATCTTTATTTTATCTATGCACATTTTTTAAAACAGAAACTAATTATTTATTAAAATTTTATTATTATTTCATTAAATAAAAAAAAAAAATACATTTTCTTTTTTCATTGTTTTCTTCCTAAATATCTATTTTTTCAAATTATTTCATATTTTTAAAAAAATCATCTAAATCATAATATATTTCATGAAAATTAATATCATCGTTAAAATACGCTGGAATTTTTAATACATTCGTATAATCATTAGGTATTAAAGAACCATTACTTTCACTTTTTTATGAAAAAAATAAATAAAAAAACAAATAATTATATATTAATATATATAATGTATGATTACAAGCCTTTAATACTTCTTATTTTGACTAATTAATTTATTTTAAATTCTTTATCAATAAAAAATATTGAAAATAAATTATTTTTTGAATCGTTTAGTATTAGCTCAACCTTACCTTATAAATTTGGAATTCTTTTAATTTCCTTAATTCTTAAAATCAAATCAAAATCACTATTTATAATTTGTTTACTTTCATTTTATTTTATTCCAAACCATGTCAATTATGTTACTTTTTTCATATAATTAAGAAAATAATATATAAAATTTACAGCTTTATTTGGAAAAGAATTAATACGAATACTTTCTTAAGGCTAGAATTCTATTTATTATTTCTATATTTTTTTCCTATTTTTTTTTTTTTATATTTAAATTATTTTACTATTCTTTTTTTTTTTTAAAAAAATAATAATAATGCTTTAGAATATTATAAGGTAAATAACAAACTTAAAAAATTCATTCTTATTTTAAATTTATAAAAAATTATTTTAAGTTTGTATAATTAATTTGTTTTTTCTTCCTTTATAATATTCTAAATAAAGTAAATAAGATATTTTTATTTTTTTTAAATAATGATTATCAAACCTATATTTAACTTCCTTCTCCACTATATATAAAATATTAACATTAAGCTTAATGATTGGTTTATAATTTTGGCGCTCTATTATCTTTGGCGGGGGAATACTAATAATTTAAAAAAAAAAAAAATATAAAATACATAAATTTATTTACATCAAATCTTTTAAGATAAATTGTGTCTCCAATACTATATACTATTGGACTTTTTTCCTTCTTTTTATAAAATATAAATACTTCTATATATTAATGTTTCTATTATTGGCATAATTAATGATTAAAAGTATCATCTATAACTTTTAAACGAGTTAGAAAATCATTTGAGGTAGAATAAGTGTTTGTACTATCTAAAATTATAGCTAAAACATTACATTGCTTTTATCCACTTTGAAATATTTCATCTAATGTTGAAATCTAATTCTATTTAATAATTACATTATAATAATTTTACATTTTATATATATAAAAGTTTAATTTAAATACATTTAAAACTAACGTGCTCATATATTTTTTATAAAAAAAAAATCTTAAATGATATATATATAAAAAATTATAATTAAAAAAATATAAATACAGATATATTTTAATTAATACAAAATTTAAGATATTAACTAAATATTATTAACTTTAATTTATAATTAAAAATAAGTTAAGTTATATAAATATCAAGTATGTCTAAACTTCCCAATAATATAATACTTCCCAATAATATAATACTAAAGAATTCTTCCTAAAATAATTCCACTCCCCACCAGCCCATAAAAAGGTCTTTTTTCTCTCAAACTAAGAACTCTTTCCGAGCTTAAGCCCTCTAATTTCCCTCTATAGAAGAATAATAATTAGACTAAATTCCCGAATTTTAACAACTCCCAAATCAAAATAACTAAAAAAAAGAAAGTGAAGAAAACATTATTAATTAGAAGCAAAAGGGTGTCCTAGGACTATTATTTTCACCTTTATTGAAAAGAGTATTGACAAAATACGATAATAATCAAGTACCCAAAATATAAATCCATACGATTAATTTACAATAGGAGACTTACAAGTTTTAAAAGAAACAATTTAAAAAACCGTCAAGAACTAGAGTAGGAACTACAATAAATTCGCGATAAAAAAATAAACTAAAATAAATAACATTAAAGCCAAAAGTATTAAAAAAATGGGAAAAAGTAAAAAACTAGCTCCTAATTTTTACTGTCATGAAAAAACTTATTGGCGACATAAAACAATATGGAACATCCGTTCAGGCTTTAAATATTAGTGATTAAATCATAGATAGATGTTAGGATATTTTAGAAAAACAGTAAGGAATATAATCTAGTAAAAAGAAAAAAAAATTCCTTTTATATCCAGAAAATCATCTGCTAATTTATACAAATATCATACAACTATTTATTTTTATAAACTTTACAATATTATCTCCTTATTTTCTCTTTTTTAGAGAAAAGCGTTCCTTAACTCACTATATAATTGATAAAATAGTCGATATTTTATGTTTTTTGGATATTATTTTAATCCTAAATAGACCTTTTTATAACCTAAATGGTATTTTAATAGATTCCCGAAAGTCAATTTTTTTAAAATACTTTAAAGGTTTTTTTATTATCGATATATTGTAAATAATTCCTTTCGAATTGTTCATAAATAATAGCATTTCTTTGTATTTAAATCCAGCCTATTATTCGGATATACTGAGAATTTTGAGAATTCCAATAGTGTATAATCGAATAAATATAATTTAAAAAATATAAGATTATTTTAAATTGACAAGTATTTCAATTCGTTTATTTAAGTTTTTATTCAATGTGGCTTTTTGTGTACATATAGTAGGTTGTATTTGGGTATTTCTATCCGAAATATAAAATAATACTCAAGAAAAAACCTGGATTAAGACCTTCGGAATCCAAAACGAAGAAAATTTAACAAAATATCTATTTTCTATATACTGGACTATAACAACTTTAGCCACAGTAGGTTTTGGTGACATATCGGCTTAAAATGACCGTATAAATATATATATATATATATATATATATATATATATATATATATATATATATATATATATATATATATATATTTATATAAATATATAATTAAAAGTCGAAAAAATATTCACAATATTCTGGATGATATTAGGAGCTGGTTTATATTCATTTATAGTAGGTTCTTTATCTTCTATGATGACTGATTCAGAATCTCGTTAATAAAAACTTGCCAAAGCAATATATATAATGGATGAGTTTTGTGAATAATCAAAGCTTCCATTAAAAATAAGGAATAAAATAAGGACTTCTTTATAATATAATTCCATTAAATGTTTACTAAGCAATAGCGAAAAAGAGGAATTCTTCGATTCGATTCCTAATAATCTAAAAATAAATTTAGCCATGAACATGTTCAAAGGGATGATTTCCGAAATACCTTTTTTAAGGAACAAAGACAGTGTCTTTTTAGCCAATCTACTACCCATGTTATAACCTTTGAAATATAATAAAGGAGACTATGTGTATTATTAGCATTCCTATCCTAATCTTATTTATTTTATAGTTGATGGGAGAGTTAATTTTCTTATTGGAAATAATGAAATGGCCTTTAAAACTTTCGTTTCGGGCTCCTATTTTGGAGAAATTGAAATTTTCGAATAATGTTTAAGGCAGTTTAATGTCAGATGTTAGGAAGATTCTGAATTTTTGACTTTAGATAGGGAATATTTAAAAGAATTAATGTAGAAATTTCCAAAGGTTAAACAAGAAATGAGGGCAATGTCAAAAAGTAGGTAAATACATATTGATAAAGCACTTGTTTAGGTTGAAAAATTCGTTTAATTAAATGATTAAGATGAGTTTTGGAATTAATAAAAGATAAATAATACTTTTAAATAAATAATAATTAAAAAAAGGTAATCAACAATGTAAAATGATGGCAATACTTTTACTAATTTAATTATTTAATAATCTTAATAATTAAATAATAATCAAATTATGGATACAAATAATGATGATTAAAAATAAAAACAATAAAAAACTGAATAATAAGAAGGATATTATTTATAGAAAATCAGTAAAAAAGTATTTATTTAAATAATATAGTCAATAAAACAATTAAAATTTGTTAGAATCTTAATATTAATAAATGGAAAGTTTAGTCCCTATAAAGGAAATAAACTCAAATAATAATTCAAGTCTATTTATAAATAATGATGATATTTAAAAAGAGGAGTACTAAAACGTAAGCGCTTTGAATAAAAAAATACCTTTAATTATTTTAGAAAATGATTATTTGACACGTTCCAAAAAAAATAGTTATAATAAATCCAAAACTTCAACTTAATAATAATTATAAACTAAACTTTAAAGTTAAAAATAATAAAATAGTTATTTGGATTTACTCGAGAAAAAAATTAATGAACATTCTGAAAATATTGAAATTATGGAAAATATGTGTAAAAATATACAAGATGTTGTCTCAGCTTTAGCAAAAGAAATTAATGAATTGGCTTTATAAAAGGATAAGAAATAAATAAAATCATAATTTTTTTTTGAAGGAATATAAAAAAATAACTCTTAAATTAAATTAAAAAAAAACGATGCCTTAGAAATGGCTTTATTTGAAGATTTATGAATTTTTTTATATAAAAATATTTTATTTATAAATAAATATTTATTTGTAAATATATATTATTATTAATTTTTATTTATATTATATAATTTTCCATATAAAAATAAAATATAAAAATATAAATTAATATTTATAAAATTTTATATAATTAAAAAAAAAAAAAAAAAATGGAAAACGAATTTTATAAAACATCAAACATAAAAGAAGAATATAAATTCGACAAAATCTTAGGAGAGTATAAAATAAAAAAACCACTAAATAATAAAAAAAAAATAGAGGATCATTTGCCGTTGTATACAAAGCAATAAAAAAATCAAACAATGAAGAATTAGCAATAAAAGTATTTGATAAGTAACAAAAAAAACAGACAAAATAAAAAAAATATAAATAATAAAATAGAGTATCATTAGAATATGATGATTAAATGGCATTAGAAACTGAATGCGATATAATGTCAAACGTAAATAAATTTTTTTAAAAAATATGAAAAAAAAATAAAAAAAGATTGACCATCCCAATATTGTAAAATGTAGTGCAGTATACGATGAAAAGTCTAAATTTTACATGGTAATGGAATTGATGACTGGAGGTGAATTATTTGATAGAATAGTAGAAAAAGAGACATATTCAGAAAAAGAGGCAGTTGATGTAATTAGGCCAATAGTAGATGCCATTAATTATTGTAATAAAATGGGTATAGCACACAGGGATTTAAAACCCGAAAATCTTCTTTATAATAGTCCTGATCCAGACGCAACAATTAAAATAACAGATTTTGGTCTTGCTAAAGTTATTTCAGATGAATTAATGACTACAGCTTGTGGAACACCTTCTTATATTGCTCCTGAAGTTCTAACAGGTAAAGGTTATTCATTTTCAGTTGATTATTGGTCTATTGGAGTTATTTTGTATGTTTTATTGTGTGGATTTCCTCCCTTTTATTAAGAAACTAACGATAAATTATTCGAATCAATTAAAAAAGGAGAATTCGGTTTCCCATCTCCTTAATGGGATAATATTTCTGAAAACGCTAAAGATTTAATTAGAAATTTATTAAAAGTAGATCCTAAATAAAGATATGGACCTGAATAAATCTTAAATCATCCATGGATTAAAGGAGAAGCATCAAAAAGACATTTGGCCGAATCTCAAGAAGCTTTAAGATAATATAATGCAAGAAGAAGATTAAGAGTATTTTTAATATTATTAATTTTTTTTTTTAAAAAAAAAAAATAAATTAAAGAGAGCTCAATTAAGTGTAGTTGCTGCTAATAGATTTAAACATTTAATCATGAACAAATGAATTTGCTCATTTTAATATATTGTTTAATTTTTTATTTAGTTAGTATCTTTATATTTTTTAAAAAAATAATTTTTTATTATTAATTTTATGAATTAATTATATATATAATAAATATTGAAAGAATTTTTATTTTTATTAAGAAAAATATATTTTTTTTAATAAAAAAGTATCTTTTATTCATTTATATAGAAAATAATATATATATTTAAAAATATATATTGAATAAAAAAAATTAGTTATTATTTTAAAAAATGAATTATTTTCTATTTTTATTTTAAATAAACATATTTTAGAAAAAATAGTTTACTTTTAAATATTTTTTTTTATTAATTATTCTTTTTTTTTTAAAAAAAATCTATTCCAATGTATTAATTTATATATAATTTATTTCCTTAAAAAAATATTTATTTTGTTTTGTATTTTTTTAAAAAAATATCAAAATAAATGTAAAAAGTATTAAAATAGTAAATTTACTTAGATAAGCAATTAAAAGAAAATCCAACAAACAGAAAAGTTTAAAATAATAGTAATAATTAAATTAATAATACAACGATTAAAAAACGAGGATTATTTTATATAAGTTTATTTATTCTTTTTTTATCAATCTGTTAATACTATTTCGAATATTAAAATTGCTTATTTATTAAATACTAAATAGAAAATAGTTTGCTAATTGATAATAAATATACAAAAAATAATAAAAAAACTAATAATTAAATAGAAAAGTTAGTTCCTTTAAAATAAAAAATACATTATTTATGGAATAAAAAATGGAATAAAATATATAAAAAAAATAAAAAAAGAAATTTAAATTAAACCATATCTAAAAATGATAATCAGTAAAAAGAAAAAAAAAAAAAATTGAAATACATTAATTTATTAGTAAATATTTTTTTGATATATTTTAAGTAATTAACTTATAAAAATAACATTTAAAGTAAAAAAAAAACTTATATACATTATTAATTTCTGAAGTATATATAAATAAAAAAATTATAAGTTTAATTATAGATTTAAAAATTTACGAACTAAAATTGTTTATTATTAATGAAACTTTTAATAATCTATGAATATACAGATTTTATTTAAAATATTCAAAAAATCAATAATAGACATTCTTAAAACTTATTTTTTGTGTATCCTTATATTTTTATTTCATTTTTAAAAATAGTATGTTTTTTTTTATATATTAAATTTTAAATTAATAATAACATTAATTTTATATAAAAATTAAATTATTGTAAGTTATTTATTATATTTTTTCAAAATTTCAATAATTTTTTTTATATTTTGATTTATAAAAATTTACATATTTAGAATGAAATTAATTTTTTATTCTTATGATTTTTTTAATAGAAATCAAATTTAAAATTAAATTAAATTAAATTAAATTAAATTAAATTAAATTAAAATATATATATATATATATATATTTAATTTTTTTATTTTATTGTAACTTAAAATATTAAATTGAAATAAAAAAAATCTTAAAATAAATTATTTTTAAATTAATATATATTAATATAAATATTAATAAATGTTATTTTATTAAATATAAAATTTTAAAAATAAAAAAATATAAATATTATAAATATAATATTATCAAAAAATAAAATATTAAAAAAAATCAAGTTTAGAAATTTATATAAATAAAAAAAAATTATATATTTTTAATTAATAAAAATAAATATT